AAAATTGATTTTGACTAGGGTCGCCCCTAGTCCAAAGTTGAAATTGTATTTCCTACTTGGTTCTTTGCTCAAAAAAATTTTAAGATGTTTTGTTTGTATTTGTTTTAAGCACAAAAATATTTATGCAAAGTTTCAATCCATTTGGAAAAACCCTCGAAAAAAAAAGTGACAAAATTGATTTTGACTAGGGTCGTCCCTAGTCCAAAATTAAAAACGTATTTCCTTCTTGGTTCTTTGCTCAAAAAAATTTTAAGATGTTTTATTTGTATTTGTTTTAAGCATTAGAATATTTACGCAAAGTTTCAATCCATTTGGATAAACCCTCGAAGAAAAAAGTGACAAAATTGATTTTGACTAGGGTCGCCCCTGGTCCAAAGTTGAAATTGTATTTCCTACTTGGTTCTTTGCTCAAAAAAGTTTTAGGATGTTTTATTTGTATTTGTTTTAAGCACTAGAATATTTATGCGAAGTTTCAATCCATTTGGAAAAACCCTCGAAAAAAAAAGTGACAAAATTGATTTTGACTAGGGTCGCCCCTAGTCCAAAATTGAATATGTATTTCCTACTTAGTTCGTTGCTCAAAAAAATTTTAAGATGTTTTATTTGTATTTGTTTTAAGCACTAAAATATTTATGCAAAGTTTCAATCCATTTGGATAAACCCTCGAAGAAAAAAGTGACAAAATTGATTTTGACTAGGGTCGTCCCTAGTCCAAAATTAAAAACGTATTTCCTTCTTGGTTCTTTGCTCAAAAAAATTTTAGGATGTTTTATTTGTATTTGTTTTAAGCATTAGAATATTTACGCAAAGTTTCAATCCATTTGGATAAACCCTCGAAGAAAAAAGTGACAAAATTGATTTTGACTAGGGTCGCCCCTGGTCCAAAGTTGAAATTGTATTTCCTACTTGGTTCTTTGCTCAAAAAAATTTTAGGATGTTTTATTTGTATTTGTTTTAAGCACTAGAATATTTATGCGAAGTTTCAATCCATTTGGATAAACCCTCGAAGAAAAAAGTGAGAAAATTGATTTTGACTAGGGTCGCCCCTAGTCCAAAATTAAAAACGTATTTCCTACTTGGTTCTTTGCTCAAAAAAATTTTAGGATGTTCTATTTGTATTTTTTTTAACACTTGAATATTTATGCGAAGTTTCAATCCATTTGGATAAACCCTCGAAGAAAAAAGTGACAAAATTGATTTTGACTAGGGTCGCCCCTAGTCCAAAATTGAAAACGTATTTCCTACTTGGTTCTTTACTTAAAAAAATTTTAGGATGTTTTATTTGTGTTTGTTTTAAGCACTTAAATATCTACGCAAAGTTTCAATCCATTTGGATAAACCCTCGAAGAAAAAAGTGACAAAATTGATTTTGACTAGGGTCGCCCCTAGTCCAAAATTGAAAACGTATTTCCTACTTGGTTCTTTGCTTAAAAAAATTTTAGGATGTTTTATTTGTGTTTGTTTTAAGCACTAAAATATCTATGCAAAGTTTCAATCCATTTGGATAAACCCTCGAAGAAAAAAGTGACAAAATTGATTTTGACTAGGGTCGCCCCTAGTCCAAAATTGAAAATGTATTTCCTACTTGGTTCTTTGCTTAAAAAAATTTTAAGATGTTTTGTTTGTATTTGTTTTAAGCACAAGAATATTTATGCAAAGATTTAATCCATTTGTATAAACCCTCAAAGAAAAAAAGTGACAAAATTGATTTTGACTAGGGTCGCCCCTAGTCCAAAATTGAAAACGTATTTCCTACTTGGTTCTTTGCTTAAAAAAATTTTAGGATGTATTATTTGTGTTAGTTTTAAGCACTTAAATATCTATGCAAAGTTTCAATCCATTTGGATAAACCCTCGAAGAAAAAAGTGACAAAATTGATTTTGACTAGGGTCGCCCCTAGTCCAAAATTGAAAATGTATTTCCTACTTGGTTCTTTGCTTAAAAAAATTTTAAGATGTTTTATTTGTATTTGTTTTAAGCACTTAAATATCTATGCAAAGTTTCAATCCATTTGGATAAACCCTCGAAGAAAAAAGTGACAAAATTGATTTTGACTAGGGTCGCCCCTAGTCCAAAATTGAAAATGTATTTCCTACTTGGTTCTTTAATCAAAAAAATTTTAGGATGTTCTATTTGTATTTGTTTTAAGCACAAAAATATTTATGCAAAGTTTCAATCCATTTGGATAAACCCTCGAAGAAAAAAGTGACAAAATTGATTTTGACTAGGATCGCCCCTAGTCCAAAATTGAAAATGTATTTCCTTCTTGGTTCTTTGCTCAAAAAAATTTTAGGATGTTTTATTTGTATTTTTTTGTAAGCACTAGAATATTTATGCGAAGTTTCAATCCATTTGGATAAACCCTCGAAGAAAAAAGTGACAAAATTGATCGCCCCTAGTCCAAAATTAAAAACGTATTTCCTACTTGGTTCTTTGCTTAAAAAAATTTTAGGATGTTTTATTTGTGTTTGTTTTAAGCACTTAAATATCTATGCAAAGTTTCAATCCATTTGGATAAACCCTCGAAGAAAAAAGTGACAAAATTGATTTTGACTAGGGTCGCCCCTAGTCCAAAATTGAAAATGTATTTCCTACTTGGTTCTTTGCTCAAAAAAATTTTAGGATGTTCTATTTGTATTTGTTTTAAGCACAAAAATATTTATGCAAAGTTTCAATCCATTTGGATAAACCCTCGAAGAAAAAAGTGAGAAAATTGATTTTGACTATCGTCGCCCCTAGTCCAAAATTGAAAATGTATTTCCTACTTGGTTCTTTCCTCAAAAAAATTTTAGGATGTTTTATTTGTATTTGTTTAAAGCACTAGAATATTTGTGAAATGTTTCAATCCATTTGGATAAACCCTCGAAGAAAAAAGTGACAAAATTGATTTTGACTATCGTCGCCCCTAGTCCAAAATTGAAAATGTATTTTCTACTTGGTTCTTTGCTCAAAAAAATTTTAGGATGTTTTATTTGTATTTGTTTTAAGCACAAGAATATTTATGCAAAGTTTCAATCCATTTGGATAAACCCTCGAAGAAAAAAAGTGACAAAATTGATTTTGACTAGGGTCGTCCCTAGTCCAAAATTTAAATTGTATTTCCTACTTGGTTCTTTGCTCAAAAAAATTTTAAAATGTTTTATTTGTTTTTGTTTTAAGCATTAGAATATTTATGCAAAGTTTCAATCCATTTGGATAAACCCTCGAAGAAAAAAGTGACAAAATTGATTTTGACTAGGGTCGCCCCTATTCCAAAATTGAAAATGTATTTGCTTCTTGGTTCTTTGCTCAAAAAAATTTTAAGATGTTCTATTTGTATTTGTTTTAAGCACAAAAATATTTATGCAAAGTTTCAATCCATTTGGATAAACCCTCGAAGAAAAAAGTGACAAAATTGATTTTGACTAGGGTCGCCCCTTTTCCAAAATTGAAAATGTATTTCCTACTTGGTTCTTTCCTCAAAAAAATTTTAGGATGTTTTATTTGTATTTGTTTTAAGCACTAGAATATTTGTGCAAAGTTTCAATCCATTTGGATAAACCCTCGAAAAAAAAAGTGACAAAATTGATTTTGACTAGGATCGCCCCTAGTCCAAAATTGAAAATGTATTTCCTACTTGGTTCGTTGCTCAAAAAAATTTTAAGATGTTTTATTTGTATTTGTTTTAAGCACTAGAATATTTGTGCAAAGTTATAATCCATTTGGATAAACTCTCGAAGAAAAAAGTGACAAAATTGATTTTGACTAGGGTCGCCCCTAGTCCAAAATTGAAAATGTATTTTCTACTTGGTTCTTTGCTCAAAAAAATTTTAGGGTGTTTTATTTGTATTTGTTTTAAGCACAAGAATATTTATGCAAAGTTTCAATCCATTTGGATAAACCCTCGAAGAAAAAAGTGACAAAATTGATTTTGACTAGGGTCGCCCCTAGTCCAAAATTGAAAGTGTATTTCCTACTTGGTTCTTTGCTCAAAAAAATTTTAGGATGTTTTATTTGTATTTGTTTTAAGCATTAGAATATTTATGCGAAGTTTCAATCCATTTGGATAAACCCTCGAAGAAAAAAGTGACAAAATTGATTTTGACTAGGGTCGCCCCTAGTCCAAAATTGAAATTGTATTTCCTACTTGGTTCTTTACTCTAAAAAATTTTTGGACGTTTTTTTGTATTTGTTTTAAGCACCAAAATATTTATGCAAAGTTTCAATCCATTTGGATAAACCCTCGAAGAAAAAAGTGACAAAATTGATTTTGACTAGGGTCGCCCCTATTCCAAAATTGAAAATGTATTTGCTTCTTGGTTCTTTGCTCAAAAAAAATTTTTTCATCCAAAGTTTAATTTAAAATAAAAAAAATCACAGTGAACTTTTAATTTGAAAAATTCGTAAGAAAGGAAAGTTTTTTGCTTTTTCTGAAGCAACGGCTGTTTCACCCTTGCCCAAAAACAATACAGCTCTTCTATAGAGCAGGACGGATCAAATGTAAAAAACTAGAAGTCTCTACGATGTCTCGTTATTGAGATTTCTTGCTGATCAAATTGCTTGCTTGTTTGCTTACAGAAAGCTTATTTTGCGATTTTCTCAGCAATGTCACAACCAATTTGAAATCTGTTTTTTTTTTTTGCAAAAGATGTGAAATTCTAGGCACAAACTTTTCTTCAGTGACTTTTTATAACCAATTTTGCTTTGTTTTCTCACAAAATGCGAAAAACTGATTTTTCAATCTGAACAAAATCAATAGATTCACACGTAAAAACGGTGTGAATATAAAAAGTATTCTTAAACAGAAGTTATATCTTTCCATATATTTACTTTTCAGGAGTACGCCGTTCTGATGCGCTTCGGAAAGCAATTTCTTCTATGGTTTTTAGCAAATTATCTCCTGCATGGACATCATTTTCCTCATCTTTTAAACTATCTAATAGCATACCCATCTTGTCTCTGAAATTTTTTTAAAAAAAATACTAAAACAACATTTTTATTTAAAAAAAAATAATTGTTACCGTAAAATATCACATTTAATAAGTAGTTGCTCGTCGTAACGATGGGTTTCACTGATTCTAGCTATGAAATCATTTATTGTTTCACAGAGTATTCTAACTGATGCAATAACAACTTGAAAATCATCTGTTTCAATAATTGACTGCAATTAAAAATTTACAACATTGTAAAGCGCTTTTTATAAAATTTTTATATTATTGATCAATTTATGATTTGATTTTTACCTGTAAATGCCACATTGAATTATCTTCAAATTGCGACAAAATAGCATCAGGAGAGTGTGATATAGACATACCCCGCCGAGGAAATGAAATTCCCTTTTCAAATACCATTATACTCCAGCGATCGAGCATTTTCGTTGAAGCTTTTTCATAACGATCTAGAAGCTGTGGCAGATGTGCATCATCATCGCAGGAAGGGCCCCAACCAAGTACTCTGGCAAGATCATTGCCAGTCCCTAAGGGGAGAACTGCGATTTGGCATTGTTTCTAATATAAAAAAGATAATAAGTCTTAATAATTAAGAAGTTAAAAATTATCATAGAAGTTTTATCTAAAACTTTGAAATGCTGTTTGTAATGTGTGTGTCTAATCTAACAAGGAGCGTAGCCAGGGGCCATAGAGGGTCCAGTCTCTCCTCAGGAAAATCAATAATGCCAAATGATAACAGTCTTTGATATTTTTGGTCGATAACCCGAATAGACAAAGAGCGTGCTCACTTTTGTGAGCACGTTAATGAGCATGCTCAAAATCATAATTTAACTTGCTCACCTGAGCACATTCAGTTGAGTATGCTTGTGAGCACATTGTGAATATGCTCACTCATGCTCGAGAGTATGCTCATGAACATACTCAATTACCAAATTTAAGCATGCATGCTCACTTGAGCACACTCTTAAGCATAGTTCATTGTGAATGTACTCTAAAAAAACATTTTTTTAAAGATTTCACATTTTATTGAGCGTGCTCAAGAGCACATACATATATTGAGCATACTCTGAGTATGCTCATGATTTTTTATATACTTCACAAGTCAAAGTTTCTAGAATTATATATAATTATCTACTTTTTAACTATAATCATTGTTTTGAGATCAATTTCGAAGTATTTAACTTTGTTAAAGTTTATATATGAGTTTTTGCAATAAAGAATTATATTGATAAATTGCAGTAGTGGTGTAAAGGTTACGGTAATGGTCTTTACTCTCAGCAGAGCGGGTCGTGAGTTCCAATCCAGGTAAAATCTAAAATTTTCTTAAGTGTCTTTTTCAGATTATTAATGAACAAAATTTATTCTAGAACACTAAAACACCTTACAACAGCAAAATATATCAAAAAAATTATTAAATAATAATTAAAAATTAATTTTTTGAAAATTATTAAATAATGTAAGTACACTCAGTGAGCATACTCAGAGTACACTCACGAGCACACTCACTGAGTGTACTGAAATGTCACATCATATGACATAAAAAATGTTGCATATCACACAACAATTTAAGCATGCTCAAAATTTGTGAAAAAAATGTGCTCAGAGCATGCTCAAAAAGCGTGCTCATTAGCATAAAGCAGTGGCATCACTTTTTGTATGAAAGAGCACGCTCACGCGAGCATGCTCAGCACTAAATTTGAGCGCGCTCATAGCGTGCTCTTTGTCTATTCAGGTTTTAAATCATAAAAATGCATATGAAATCTCAGCAAATTTACTTTTCTTAAATCAATCATATGTTAATTAAAAAGTTCTCCACAGCCCCCTTCAAAACTTGTACAAATCGAAAAATCTAGCTTTATTTTACCTTCTCAATGCCGTTTCCGAGAAATTTACAGTCAAATTTAACTTAATTTCATTAAAAAAATATTAAAAACGTCAAAGTCAAAGAAACTGTCAAAAAAAATTATCTTTATAAAGTGTCGCGAAAATTTTGTGCACAACGAATTTTTGAACGCTTTTTTTAAATCTGTACCATTGTGGAGTTAAAAATGAAATAAGTGAAAAATACTTACATGCATATTTAATCGATCGATTTCAGATAGAACCCATCCAATTGATCCATCTCCACTACATATTAAAATTCGAAAAGGATCAAAATGACGAAACAACCTTAAACCTAATTCAGGTCCAATTGAAATTAAATCAAATACTTGTGCAGGATTAAGAAGCTGTTTAAAACGTCTAAGAAATTTAACACCTTGATTGTCGCCTGATTTAGAATTAACAAAAACTAAAAGTGGTGAAAAACAAGTTCCAGTCGGTTTAACAATATCCCATGCATCATCAACACCAATTGAATGCAAGCATGTTGGTGGAACTACAGAAACTTTACTGGTCCCGAGAGGACATCGAACATCCACATTTGGTCTACAAGCAGTATGAACTGTTATTTTACACCATAAACATCTCCAGTCTTGTAATCGCATGACTGAACCACACGTTTTTTCACAATGAATACATTTAGCTGATACTGGCAAATTTCCTTCTTGCCATTGATGCGGCATAATTAAATTGCCATCAGGATCTTCAATTATGTCTTTACCTATTTCAATGATATGAAATTAAACAGGAAAACATTACATTGAAACTGATATATAAATTAGTAAAGATAACATACCTACAGATGCAAGAGTAGTCCACTTACAATTTGATATGGCTTTTGCTGCACATCTTTTATGAACTTTAAACTTGCAAACCTCGCATGATAAACCATGCGAAGTAACTCCAGAAAGCGCCTCTTTACACACCTAAATATTATACAAAAATTATTAAAAGTCCATAACTATGCCGTGAAATAATCGGACAAGAATTTAAAGACTTTAACAGTTTTTGATATTTGAATGCAACAAGAATGTTAAAGTAGATTATATAAACTTACATTACAATATGTTGGGCGAGCGTGGCTTGTTGCATGCCAATGATGATTCCCCGATAAAAAATCATGCTGGTCTGATGGTATAGGATCAAAAAACTCTCTAGTGGTCGCAGTTTTTATTGCCTGACACCAATCATCCATTTCTTTTCTAGTTTCTGCTCCAAGCACTAAAGATTTCGTTGGAGTTATGATCTAAAGGTTAAAATTCTCATTATGAATTAAAACGGAAACAAATATATTTTTTTATTATACTTCAAATTTAATAATTGCTTTTCCTGGTTTTAACAATGTGAAACTTGACTTTTGATTAGAAATTGACTCGAGTCTTCGATTTTGTTTGGCGTCTCTACGTTGTCTGGTTAAAAAGTTTTTCTCAAACAGCCGAACAAAGTGTATTATTAAACTACCTTTTAGAAACAAGTTTCAAAAATGCGCTAAAAATGAAAAATGTTTCATTCACTATAAAAAGTTAAATAGTCCCACGCACTATGGGGCAAAATTTAAAAAAAAGGACTTTCACTTCGAAAAAGGCAATGTTTCGAATTACGTTCTCAAGTGAATTTTTTCTTGTAGAGGACATAAAAATATACTTCTATGCCAAATTTCAGGTCATTTGGTGCTATTTTTGCGAATCTGTGGCTGTTTGAAGTTGAAATAGGGTGAAAAATCTGGTTTTTTCATGTCACGTTAGAACTGGTAAATCTCCGCAATGGTTAGAGGTATTAAAAAAAAGTTTTCAGTTCCTAAAAGTGTTATATAAAAGCTTTATTTTAATGTATTTCAAAGTTTACAAATTTGATGTTTTGGTACCGGTGTAGTTGAAAGTGTATAAAAATCCTAGGAAAAATATCTTTGTGCAGGCACAACTTTTTTCTGTCAACCGCTATACCAGTCAAAAACCACACCATTAAATAGCCACAGAGTAAATCGACAAATATTTTGCCAAAAACGAAAATTTCTTATAAATAAAACAAAACAATAACTACAAATAAGTTTTTTGGTATTTTTCAATGACAAACAATATTTAAAGACAACCTGTGAAGAAATTTGTCGTTATATGAGGTACTTTTAATATCTGACGACTTGTATGTTTTTTCCATCACTCAAACCACTAGTACTCTTAGAAAATTAAATATTTTTAAATTTTGTTTTCAGTTTGTTGTAGCTTGTAAATTTACCTGTGCTGGTTGCGCTTTTGTAGGCTTTTTGATGGACATAAAGAGCTCTAACCTTTTTCAGGATACATATTTTTACATTCTGTTTTCGGTTATTGCTAGTTTGAATTAATACCTTTAAAATGATGTATAATACTTGTATGAAAGTTCATTATAGCTGCTTCTGGAGTAAATTGAATGTGACCGACGCAAGCTAAACTTCAACAAAATAGTCAAAAACCAAAATTTATCAAACAAAAATATTTTAAACTGACTTATTTTGCTTAAAATCTGTATAAATATGAAATATCAACCGATAAGCATCCAAGAAATAGTGTAATACTTGGGAATTTTTGACCCAATAAAGACTACTAGGATCGTACTTAAACAAGCTACCTGAGATAGCCAAAAGTTTATAAAATACAAATTTTTGAGTGTTTTTAGTCATAATTATCATAAATCGTCATAAAAAACCAAAACTCAATACTTAATTTTGTTTCCAAGTGGTATTTGTAGAAATAACGTTTTTGAGATTTTTTCTAGTTTAGGGTCGCTCACAAACAAGCCTCATACATATTCATGACCAAGATCAAAGTCAACTATCAAGTATTATACATTATTAGAAAGGTACTGATTTAAGCTACAACAAACTGAAAACAAAATTTAAAAATATTTAATTTTCTAAGAGTACTAGTGGTTTGAGTGATGGAAAAAACATACAAGTCGTCAGATATTAAAAGTACCTCATATAACGACAAATTTCTTCACAGGTTGTCTTTAAATATTGTTTGTCATTGAAAAATACCAAAAAACTTATTTGTAGTTATTGTTTTGTTTTATTTATAAGAAATTTTCGTTTTTGGCAAAATATTTGTCGATTTACTCTGTGGCTATTTAATGGTGTGGTTTTTGACTGGTATAGCGGTTAACAGAAAAAAGTTGTGCCTGCACAAAGATATTTTTCCTAGGATTTTTATACACTTTCAACTACACCGGTACCAAAACATCAAATTTGTAAACTTTGAAATACATTAAAATAAAGCTTATATATAACACTTTTAGGAACGTAAAACTTTTTTTTAATACCTCTAACCATTGCGGAGATTTACCAGTTCTAACGTGACATGAAAAAACCAGATTTTTCACCCTATTTCAACTTCAAACAGCCACAGATTCGCAAAAATAGCACCAAATGACCTGAAATTTGGCATAGAAGTATATTTTTATGTCCTCTACAAGAAAAAATTCACTTGAGAACGTAATTCGAAACATTGCCTTTTTCGAAGTGAAAGTCCCTTTTTTTTTCAATTTTGCCCCATAGTGTATGGGCGATTCTAATTAAATCTTAATTAACCAATTTTAATATGTTTGGGTGAGAACAATATGTAGATATCGGTAAAATCTACTATTAAATACATGAAACATAGGGAGTAATGCAACTGATAAAGAAAAATATATATTTGGAGACAAATTTGTAGAAAAAATCATTCTTAGAATCGCCCTTAACATGAAATTTTTAAATTTTTGAACATTTTTTTCGATTCTGAATCATTGTGAAATTTATGAAACCGTTAAAAATTTGAATTTTAAATAACCGTTAAAGGACAAAAACTTTGAACATATCTTTCTTTATTTCAAATTTGGAATTATTGTAGTTTAAGTTACATTTCTTTGAGTCTTATTTTGACACCAGCCTGAATATGGCTTTAATTCAACTATATCTTGATTAATTATTAATTTTGATGAATGAGATTTACATATATCATGAAAATGTGCAAAAACTTTGAAATGTAAATAATGTTTGTAAAATACAACACGGAAGCTTTGCTAAAGGCAAACTTTTGGAGCTATTTGCTTATTGACTCACATTTTGTTGTTAAAAAAACTGATCACTTCATCAAAAAATGGATAAACTCTCTCGATCAATAACACGAGAAATACAAGTTCTTGTGTTAAAACATTGCTGTCAAAATAAAGTAACACAATATTAATATTAGCTTACCTGAAAACAATTGCTAATATTTTTAGTGCCACACTCGGCGAAACATAGATTTGATAGATCGATTTCATTAAACAGTTCACTCTGAAAGAATAAAAATAATGATAATTATTTTATTTATTGCCCTCTTTTTTTTTCTATATACACAGAAGATTTTATTAAATATCACCTTTAAAATTAAGAATTGGACACTGATAGTTTCCAAAAATAATGAACATTCTTCAAAGCTGGTGAGTCACCTCTACACCAGTAAATTCATGTTCAATATTCGGAATTATAACATTGATTTAATAGAAGATAGATCATGCTCAGACCCAAGGATTTTAGGGATTAGGAGAATGAAACTTTTGTGTTGTAATTGTATCGAAATTAAAATTTTTCATTTTTCTGCTAAATAAGTGAAAGATAAAGCTTAAGTTCCTTTACAAACTGCTTTACATCACTTTACATCCTGTGCATTAAAATTCTAAAAACAAAAACTCCCAGAAGTTTTCTAAGTGTGTTCACCATGATATTCCCACAGAAAATAAAAATATGGGCAATTCTACGAAAAGGTTTCATGAAAATAATCCGTGTCAATTGCATGAATTTTTTAATTATTTTATTTTCACTTGTGCATAGTTTTTCAAAAAACTAATTCTCATTTCCTTTTCTATTGGTTAAACTGTGAATTATGATTACATCTGCACTCAAATTACTTAGCTATGGCTTGAGAAATTCATGGTTTTAATTTTAATATTTGGTAGTTTTTTTTTGAAATTGTCTCCAAGTTACTCTGTTTCACTTATGAAATTTTTCGTAGAATCCAAATTGCAGCTTAATTAAGGCTTCCACAAATATGATTTTGACATCGTTTTGAAGCTTTTACTTTAATCTATAACTTTGTATACTTAGAATTACTGGAAATTTTACCACCTTAAAGATATTAATGATAACATTTTGAAAATTTGAGTGAAAAAATTCATGTGAAACAGAGTATTTTTTCGTAGAATGTAAATAATTCTTTAATTAACCATTTTTATTATGTTTGGGTGAGAACAATATGTAGATCTCGGTAAAATCTACTATTAAATACATGAAACATAGGGAGTAATGCAACTGATAAAGCCATAGATCTCAACGTGAACAGACGTGTTTACAAATCGCTCCGCAAATTATTCAAAAATCTCAAAAGAAACAAAACAGAGATTACCTGAGAAGCTTTTTGTTTGCAAAAAGTTTCAAAATCTCAGTTTGATTCTCAAAACATCAAAATGGTAGAATCACAAAAAACTACCAACAACGAAGAAAATCTTTCTCAAAATCAGCATGGACTTAATAGTTCTCAACAACAACATTCATCTTCAGTGACAATTCTCAATATTGAGGAAATTTTCAGTGAAAATGTTTCACAAGCAGCCGACATTGAGATGACAAATCTCAAACCAAAAAAAACAAATAACAATAAAGAAGTTTCTCAATGAAGCAAGTAAAGCAGAAAAACGCCCTCGAGAAGTGATAGTTCCCAACGCTCCTTTAAAAAGAGTAGCTAACGAAAGCAAACCAAAAGATGGGAACAAACCACTGTTCGTACTCCCACCAATGAAGAAAGCTTCGTCTTCTGGAGTACCGTATCTATTTGGTTCACCAGAACAGGAGACAAAAAGATCGACAACTTCATCGTACTAGGGAGAAAACAGCAAAACATCAGAGCAACAAAAGACAATTTCCGTAAACACGGAAAGCAACAACAACAAATCTCAACAAAAATCAAAACCACCTCCAATTGTCATCAGCACAGGTGGAGCTGGTGAAATCAAGAGGTTGACGAATGAAATAAACAATCAACCTGGAAGTTTCTTAATTGAGACCAAAAAGGGCAAACAAGGAACAAAAACGGTAACAACGGAGAGTTGGGATTACTACGAGAAATTCATCCAACTACTCAAAGACAAAAAAGCATCACTTCCACACATACTCCAGCCAAGAACCACTGAAGAAGTACGTACTCTACGGACTCTCAGATATGGAAATCAGAGAGTTGGAGAAGGAACTTCAAACCGTAAAAATCACACCAGTAAAAACTGTCAAAATGACAATGAAACACAAAAGACACGAACAAGACGACGACCAGAACTACCTCGTGTACTTCAAAAAAGTTGAGAACAAGGTGGAACTACAAAAATAAACAAGCTGGACCATCTCAATGTTCGAAATGTCTGCAGTTTGGTCATGGACAAAACGGTTGTAACAAACCGTCCGTTTGCTTCAGATGCTCTGAGCAACATGACTCGAAAACGTGCCAGTACATATCGAATGAAACCAACAAGGTTCCACTCGGAAAACTCAAATGTTTCTTCTGCGGTGAAAAACATCCAGCAATTTTCACAGGTTGTAAAACCAGACAAGAAATAATTGAAAAGTGGAAATCAAAATCACAGAATGGAAACAACCGAAATCAAAACAAAACAGCAGGCCATTATTCATATGGACAACATGGACAACGGAGAAACAATCCTTCAATTCCGAAACTTCCTGAGCGATTAACCAGAAACGTCCAACATGCACCAAAACCTCAATGGAGAAAGAAGAATGTGGAACCATCAACATCTAGTACACAAAAGCCTGCTCATCAAAAACAAGCTCCAGTCAACCACAAACCAAGGAACACAAATCCTCCTCCAAATCACAAACCCTCAAATCAGGGAAATAAAAATAACTTGAACAACCAACAAAACAATAAAGAAAGAGGAAAACATTGGAAAAAGAATCAAAGAAAAAAGCAAAACGAGCTCATTAATAACAATCAACATCAAAAACCAAAGCAAGATGTTGTGCTTCTGGACTCAGAAGACATCAGTCCAACAAGTCAGACCACGAATGAAGTTTTCCCAGAACCTTCATTCAGTGTTGAGGTAGTGAATCGAAACATAACAACTAATCAACAAGCTCAAAGCACCAGCACAAGAGATAAAAACATCTCAGAAATAAAGGAATCAAAGTGCAAGTACCTCATCAGTGAGCTTCTCAAATTAATCGCCAAAAATCCAGAGTTCATCGACGAAATACTCCAAGCAATCGGCTCAAACGCCAAAAACACCGCATACAATAATGGATTGTAGACAACAAAGAATCAACGTCCTTTACTGGAATGCTAACGGCCTCACTGACAAAATGTTAGCATTTCTCGACTACCTAAGCAAGCAAAACGTCGATGTTGCTTGCATCTCAGAAACATTCCTAAAACCAAACTCAAAAATTGACTCGCATCCAGACTACGTAATTCATCGATTGGATCGCGTGGATAGACCAAAGGGTGGTGTTGCAATCATCGTCAAAAGAAATCTAAAACATCAGCTTCAACCAAGCTACAACACAAAACTAATGGAATGCATTGGAATCAAAGTCTTCATCAATGACACGGATAGTTGTCACATCCTCTCAGTCTTTCTCCCAGGAGAAAACAAAGGAGGGGAAATAGATCAACATCTGAGAGATGACATCAACAAAATAACAAATCTGAGATGAAATTACTACATCTGTGGAAACTTCAATGCAAAACATTGAGAATGAAACTGCAACGTTGCAAATAAATCAGGAAATATTCTTCAGGAAATGTCAGGAGAGTTCATGATCTACTTTCCTGACTCGCCAACGTACTACCCAGAAGATCGAAACAAATCAGGGTCAACAATTGACCTGATGCTCTCGAATTCCAACCTCGAAACAACAGAACTTCAATGCACAGAGGCAATGAGTGATCACTGCGCTGTGTATTTCCAAATCAAAACATCAAAAATCGACAGAACTGAAAATACAGTCTACAGATATGACTACAAAAACGCAAACTGGAAAAAAGTTCAAAGCACAAATTTCACGCCGTATCAAAGACAAAACTGGAGAAAATTCTTGCAATACAGCAGATGAGCTCGAGAATCACATTAAGATTCTCTCTGAACTCAACATGGAAGCGAGGAACTCAAGTGTAAAAATGAAAAAGATCAACTTCGAATCAGCTAAACTCACACCGGAGATTAAAGATCTAATCAATACAAAAAGGAGTCTCTGTCGAAGATGGCAGAGAAGCAGAGATAATCAACTCAAATTTGAATTGAATTATCTGCAGAGAGTCATCAATGAGAAAATTAAAGAACTCAAAAACAAAAACTGGAAAAAGCGTCTCTCAGCGTCGTGAAGCTCACGAAAATCCTCTGGAACAAAACGACCCACAACATACACAGGAAGTAAACAACACAGTCAAAGAAGCATTGGAACAAGACAATGATGAGAATCCAGAACTAACAGATGTAAACGAAATCGTGAGCATCATAAGAAATCTGAAAAATCCAAAAGCTCCGGGACTAGATAAAGTCAACAACATACTCATCAAAAATATTCCTGAAAAAGGTTTCGAATACTTGAAATTCATCATCAATTCGTGTCTGAAACTCAACCACTTCCTTAGCAAATGAGCTAAGCAGCTACAGGCCAATAAGTCTACTCAGCTCAATAAGCAAAATACTGGAGAGAGTATTACTGAACAGAATCAACATCATCCCAAGCCAGCAGTGCGGCTTCCGGACCGGAAGATCAACATCTCATCAGCTCATCAAAGTGATCAAATCAGCAAAAGAAAACTTAAACAACAAAAAATCAACAGGTATGATTTTCCTGGATGTAGAAAAAGCATTTGACAGAGTCTGGCATAACGGACTCTTGTACAAAATGCTCAAACTGAGATTTCCACTGCCACTTAAAAAAACTGTAAGATCTTTCCTCAGTGAAAGATCTTTCGCAGTTTTTATTAAAGGTCAGTTCTCAGAAATCAAGGTAATCAAATTCGGAGTGCCACAAGGAGCAGTGCTTTCACCAACTCTCTACAACATCTTCACGTATGATGTTGTAAGAGAGACAACCAACAACATCGGTCTTTTCGCAGATGATACAGCACTGTATCATTCTGCAGAGAACTCGGCCGATATTGTGACACATCTACAGCACACAGGAAGAAAAGTTCAACAATACATGAACAAATGGAAGATCAACCTCAACAAACAGAAGACTCAAACCTTATTCATCACAAACAGGCAATCCAGGCAACTACC